CGGTCAAGAGCATGCCACGCCAGCAGGCGGCGATATAAACCTTAACCGCAAAGCCACGTTGGCCAATCAGAAGCGCAAATCCGACGTCAAACCAAGGGGGTAATCCATCGACCGGAAGTTGAAGCCGGCCGGGTGCCGCCATGTTGTAGCAGAACTTCACTTGCGTTAGCATTTCCATTGACTCCCATTCATTTTGGCGTCACTTTGACAGCGAATAACTTTACATCTGAGGCGTTTAAAGACTCCATTTGTCCATTATTTATTTCTAAAGAAACACGACAATGTATAAAGGGCTCCATTACCTTCTATGTTTCATTATGGCCCCGTAGAAACAGATTTAGTAAAAATAGGCTAACGATTGCGTCATAACCACTCGACTCTCTGTCGCGCTGTACAGAAATTACCGTACAGACAGGAGGAGAAGCTCGCAGGCAATCGGGGGGACGCCCCGTCAAGGGAGAAGCCCATAGATAATGAGTCCATAAAAGCAACGGAATACTTACTCCTGCTCACTCACGCCAAAGAACTCTTTGCTCAAGTTCCCCGTCTCTGCAAGATTAACGTTGGCGATTTTTACGCACAGCTACTAGAAGATTAACGTCTGTCAGACAGGTTGCTCACATCATCAAGCTTAGTTTGAGTCGGTTTGAGTCTGCGCGTCAGGAACGGAAGTGCTCAAAAATCGCTAAAAATGGGCTTCAACTGTCTCAACTGAGTTCCAATGAGATGGCTCTGTCCACTTCTTATACTGTCTAAGCGTCAAACACAGCGGATAACGGCGCACACTCTGACGTCGCAAGGCAAAAACCCCGGTTTCACTGTCTACACGACAACACTGTAACCGGCGTTTCTGAAAATCCTCACCCTGGCAGGGGTTTTCGAAAATGTTCGGTTTCAGTGCGTTTTCGTGTGGACGAACGGTCGAACCGCGTAAAAAGTCACGGTTATAAAAATACCCGTGTCCGTGTGGACAGGGCCTTAAACCAGTTTAAAGGCAGATGAAACAAACAGTGCTGACGAACAGTAGAAACGATACGGTCAGAAAGCTTTTCCGTCTACAAATTCCCATAATTACCATGGATTTACTATAACGTTAGCCTAGTATATTAACTGCACCATGAAATGTGGGATATACATATTGAAGTGTATTATATTATTAATATAGACAATGTATTAAAGGACTAATGGAATATAATTACAGTATTTAATGTATTTAGGCTATACTGTTTTTCATACATTTCATGAAGAAACGTGCCATCAAAGTCAGGCAACACAAACCTGTTCAAGACTTGAAACAATATCCCCCATTAGCACATGCAGAAACTAAGAAATTAATTTTCCAATAAAGATATTCATGTTGTTAAGGAAAAATGACACATGTTTGAATGTTCTACCTCAGATTTGTGAAATGTTCACCTGTTTGGCAATGGTTTGTCATGATATGTTCTGACAATAAAGAGTAGTTTAAAAACACAATTAATGCTCTGGTTTCTACAACTTTCAGTTAGGAGCAAAAATCTGCCTTTAAACTTGAAAGAAATAAAGATTTGACATTTATCGTGATAATTATTGATACTGACTGATATATTATCGTGATATTGTTAAGTGTTGTTCCTGTGTTATTGATACTTAGGAAAAGGGAGCCTTCAGTTTGTTACTCTTAAGAAAATGGAACCTTTAAATAATGAAACTTATTACTTTTAATGAAAGTCAATAAAAAAAAAAGACTTTTGAAAGGAAGTTACTTTTCGTAATTCGTGTAGGTCATAAATTTAAATCATAATGGTCATAAAAAGGTCTTAAAAAGTCTTAAATTTGATTGACTAAACCCTGCAGAAACCCTATCTAAATTATTTGTAAAGAACACCATTGTCACTCAGTCACTCTTTCTAGTGTTCTCACCCCACACTTCATGAACAGAAGGATGTAGCATAGATCAAATGGGTATTAATAGTATCCTACCCTACCCTCACAAGAGACAGTATGAGCCCAAGCCTGATATGAATCACAGCTATATTATTTTACTATGGAGGTAAACTAACGGCATTTTAATTAAATTGAATTTGAATTAAATTGGTTTGATGAGTCAGAGTAAAACTGGTCCCATTTGGAGTCTGTAATGTGAAAATATCTCTGGAATAAATGCTACAGATGCTTAAACAATGAGATCAGATCCATGTCCCCTGAGATTTTTCTGGATGGCAGCTCATCAGGACACAGCATGAATCCTGAATACATGATCGCAAAAAGAAGGTTGCAATGTCCCATCTGTCTTTTGTCTTACGACATCTTTCCTTTGTTTCTCTCATTCTGTCTCTTTCTCACCCCTGACTCAGCGGTGGGGGTGGGGCTAACCCTATAGATTGCCCAATAAGACAATGGGCAATCCCTGTACTGTGGCTTTGTTATAGATGACCATTTCAGCACATTGATCAATAAACACGTTTCCCCTGTGTCACAATTTCAGATTTAAATAAATGTAAGCTCTAAAATGGACAAAACTAATCTCTTTTATAAAATGCATTCTTTTTCAGATGTTTCAACAAATTTAGTTTAGTTGTTTTTCTATTGTATTAGATGTAGTCTCAAAGGTTTAATTTTAAGCTACCTTTTGGTTTTTGTCAACTATATATTCTCCTGACCTATTCAGAATACTTTTCAAATGTTCAATATTTTTTTTTTTGTGTTTCACCTCATCTCTCTTTCTCTTTGGTTCTTAATGCATTTTGTCTGTTCTTTACAAAAAACTGAGATACTACATTCTTTCTTTTTGTTGTTGTTGCTTAATCTGTTTATTAAACTTTTACAATAACAGGATACAGGTACAAGAAAATAGGGGAAAATATTATTCCCACTCCAGCCCTAACCCCACACTCAAAGGGGAAAAAAACAGTGTATAACTATAGAGTGCATGTTAAGCATTTGCAAATATTAAGTATACAGTATATAGACAGGTGTTTAGACATACATGCACACAAAATCATACACGTCTCAACAGATTCGAGCCACCATCATGATAACATCTTATTGTTTAAATTGACAGGATGTAGAAGTAGTACTAGAAAATTCAGAAAAAAAAAGATAATGAATGGGTCCCCGGTCTGAAAATATACTAGTGTTGCCTTTAATCGTATACCTGATTTTTTTTTTCAAAATGAATATTGCATCTCGGAGCCAGTTGTCAAAAGATTGAGGGAAATTTTGTTTCCATAACAGGAGAATGTGGTGTCTAGCCAGTAATGTTAGGAAGGCAAAAGTGTTTGCAGTATGTCCGGATAGGCCATTGACATTTGGGGAGAGTCCAAAAAGTGCAACCAGAGGACAAGGCACAATCTGTTTCTTTGAAACTGAGTAGAAGTAATTAAAAATTGATAGTCAGAAAGAAGTTATTGATGGGCATAACAAAAAACATATGTATTAAATCAGCCGGGGCCTGATGGCAATGATCACGAAGGGGATCAATACCCTATTTACCCAGTTAAATTTTTTTGCTAGCATCACTTTTGTCCAATAAACACAATGAATAAATTTTAATTGAAGGAGGAGTATGGACACGGAGCAGGATCTGGTTCCAAGTCTCTTCTTCAAATGTAAGCTCTTTACCACTGCTGTTTAATAAAGGACAGAGAGGAGGTGGTGATGGAAGAGATCAGTCTGTATAAAGTGGACAATGTACCCCTTTTGCCTAGGGCTTCAAGAATATGACATATCTGGGATTTTAGTGGGCGATTCGGAAAGTCAGGGAATTAATTTTTATCAAATTATACTACATTCTAATTTTGTCTCATGGGGAGGGGTTGATATGGGAAACCTCTGAAAAAGACCACCATCTTTCAGAATTAAGTACATTTTGAACCTGTATAAATGATTTATACCTGTTATAAGATTAATTTTTTTTGATTAAATACTTTTTGAGTTGAATTTGGTTAAATTTGGCCTTTATTAGAGTGGGTCAGTAACAGGATCTCAAGGATGCCCCAATTAACAGATAGAGCTGTCCTGGATCCAGATTTAGTGTTTAACCCAGTAATTGCAGATTTTCTCATGTTCATGTATTACACATATACTTGGTCAGATTGTTATTTGTTGCGTTGTTTCTACCATAGTTTTATGATTTTGACAACCAATGAAATGAAATATTTCCAGATCAGCAGATATTGTAAAGAACAATTTAAACTGATATTCAGACCTAATAGAAAATGACACTATTCAGTGTCTCATGAATAGACGATAGATTAAAATGATTTCAGTAAATCCGAATCTGATGTTCCAAAACTAGACTGACTTTTTTAAATATCCAAAGCATGTTTATGAGCATTGAGCAAATGTACATCAGGTCAGAAATATCTAAACTCGTCTTGATACATAGACCCTGTCCAAAATGGAAACCTAAGCCCTCACAATCTTCCTCTGAGTCCACACTTTCGTGACATGACGCTGCTTTGACTTTCTGGTAGAAGTCTGCTGCGTAGTTTGCGAGCACTTGCGAGCCCGGCTAAAGTGCGCATTGCCTATTAGCCGCAAAGGGGGCGCTCGTGATCTCCCTTCTGAAACCTAAAATGACAAATGGGACATCCCACGGTCTTGTGAACTTGAGCATGCAAGTCCATAAGACTGCAAGTGCACATGAAGTGTGCCATTTAGGACAGGGCCAGAGGTCATGGATCAGCAGTCGTCTTTTCTTTTTTTTTTTGCGGTCATGCTGTGTTTCTGTTTTGATTAGGAGAGTGAAGAGTCAAATGGAAATAAAGTTAAAGCGGTTGGACTTCTTTGAGATATTGCTATTTTTCAACTGCTCACACACACTCTCTCTCTCTCTCTCTCTCTCTCTCACTCTCACTCTCTCTCTCTCTCTCTCTCTCTCTCTCTCTCTCTCTCTCTCTCTCTCTCTCTCTCTCTCTCTCTCTCTCTCTCTCTCTCTCTCTCTCTCTCTCTCTCTCTCTCTCTCTCTCTCTCTCTCTCTCTCTCTCTCTCTCTCTCTCTCTCTCTCGATTCTGTAGCTCAAACTTGAAGATCGGTCTATTGTGCCTAGAGACTTTGTCCGGCGAATGAATTCAAATGTAAGTTGTATTTTTATCACTTGTGTTTAAGGACAAAACAATGTACAGAATAATAGAGAGAGTGTCTCAGAGGCTTGGACTTTACTAGAATGCCTAGAACTACTAAAAAGTCCAGTTATGTAGAAAGGATTGTAGTATAGACGTCTTCAAAAAATTTTTTTTATGATGACAGTATCACTACTTGAAGGTGTGCTGTGGTTATTAATTTGTTCTTTGAATCCTGCAGGATAAACAGTGTGGCATTGTGACTAACATAAACACCAAATGTGCAGTGAAACTTGTAGGAACCAACTGTGTTCTATATCCTGTAAATAGCAAAGACCTGCAGCACGTCTGGGTGAGTAAAAAAAGAAAGAAATTTCAGCAGGTGTTATATAGTGGTCTATATGGGTTTTCAGTTTTAATAGATTATTAATGAAAATTATAATAAATGCAAAAACTAACAATGAAGAAATATTTCTGTAAATTAAAATGGGAGTTTGGAAATGTGTACTACATTATTAACTATATAGAAATGTCTTTTAGTTTCATTTTCATTTTGAATGGTCTTTTTTTAATTCACATATAAATGCATACAAAGAGCACATTACAGTACATATGGTAAACAGGGAAGCTTGTGCTTGCTTCACACCCTTGAACAAACCTCCTTAGTTCTCTTGCAGCATGCATGTTTGAGCTTCCATGCATACCATATGGGATGAGCTCTATGTCTAATTTATATGCTTATGTGTCAATATTTTTTTAGATGTCAATTAAAGCCTAAATTAAATTTGTTATCTTGGTAACGGGAGGTTGCACAATGTCCTAAATGTAGGGAATGCTAATAATTGTGTTAGCTGAGGAGGAAAAAGATTATTCTTGTAGAGGGAACATTGTCATAAGGGATTAAAAATGAAAACTCTACTGACACTCAATAACTAATATTAATAGTAATTTCAATAAAGCATCTTAAAATTGATGACTAATAGATAGTTAACTAACTATGTACCTGTGTTTTGTACCTGTCTACAGTCATTTATGTATGGTGACTACATTGTATATGATTTCTGGCTTGGAAAAGTGTATGATCTCAGCATCCAAATCGTTGTGAAGCTTTCCAACGGTGCACGGTAATGTAATCACTATGTAATGTAATCACAATGTAATCACAAATATCTTATTACTTCACGTCAGTGTGGGTCATGCAGTATGATGCTGAACATGTTGAACCTTTAATCTTGTTCAAGTGCAACTCCACAGTAGAGAAGAAAGAATGCTACATAAACGGACTTTTTAGGATTTGTACTGAAGTGTTGTTTAATACAATTTATTTGTTCACTGTAGATGTTCTATGAGTGAGGAAGATGGTGCAAAACTCTATGATATTTACCCTCACGTCAGTGATGTGGTAGGTGCCAAGAATGTTTGTGTTCTTGTCTGCATTATCAATTATGTGTTTTTTTTTTGTTGTCATTATAATATTCATTAGGGCTGGGTGATATAACGGTATTCACAGTGTGTCAGTAGAAATATGCCGGTCAAGTCATTTTTATTTGCCCCAGTGTTATACTGTGCTATAAAAAACCTTTTCCCCCAGTTTCACAGACAAGGCTTAAGCCTAGTCCCAGACTAAAATGCATGTTGGAGCTGTTTTAACTGAAAGCAACTTGCACTGACATATTTTAATATACCGGTATGTCAGTGCAAGTTGCTTTCAGTTAAAACAGCTCCAACATGTCATGTCAGTACCTTTTTTTGTTTCAACTGCACACCAGTAATGTTTTTTTCTAAGGCATGTTTATAAAAGCTACATAAATGTCCTAATTAACTAAGGCCTAATACTGGCTTAATCTAACCCCTGTCTGTGAAACCTAGGCCATTATGTTTAATTTATGCATTATGCAGCTGTCTCACTCAACTTGTTGAATGTGTCTCAGTGTGAAATGTTGCTCTGCCTTTTACTCCAGGGTTTGTTCTTTGACGATGCCTATGGGTTCTATCCGGGTCAGGTTTTGATTGGGCCCTCAAAGGTTTTTGCTAACGTGCAATGGCTGTATGGTGTGAAGCCTGTTCTCAGTAAGAAAAGCAAGTTCAGAGTTGTTGTGGAGGAGGTAAGACAAAAGTTTGACTCCAACTGAGACAAGAGTTCTGTAATTCGGAATGGCGAAATAACGAAACCAAATCAGGCTTCTGCTACATGTCTCAACATGTTTTAATAATTTACATTTCTAGTTGTATGTCTCGTACAAGAAATCTGTGTATAATTACAGGTTCAAGTGGTGGAGCTAAAGGTGACATGGATTACAAAAAGTTACTCTCCAAAGGGGTCAGACAGTGTCTTTCCACCGCCTTCAACCATCACACAGGAGAACCTTTGCAGGTACAATCAGCTTTTCACACTGCAGTTTTATCATTTTGATTATTTATAACTAGGGCTGTCGATTGATTTAAAATTTAAAACAAATTATTCACACGCCTATTCACTAAACTGCCAAAAAGATTGTCACAGAGATAGATGGACAGTAATCCAAAGAGGCAAAGACCAGTGAAATCTCAACAGATGTTTGGCATCCCATGAGCTTTTTTAACAGTAAATATTTAACTTTTTTCATTTCCATGTTGTAAATAATCAAATAATCTTATCACTGACCAAAAACATTTCAGGATTTTTCTCCACACAATGGACTTCAACGGTAACCAAATTGTTGAAGTCCAAATCAATGCAGTTTCAAAGGGCTTTGAAGAGCTTCAAAGGGCTCTGCACGATCCCAGCTGAGGAATAGGGTCTTATCTAGTGAAACGATCAGTCATTCTCTAAAAAAAAATAAAAATGTATATACTTTTTAACCACAATTGTTCGTCTTGTGCTGGTCTGCGACGCGCCAGGCATTACGTAATCACTTTGGAAAGGTCACGCTGGACGTAGACGGAAGTTCCGACCCATTGTTTTAAACATCCAGGATACGCACACGAAGACATAAATATTTTATTCAACATACAATAAAATTTGAACGATACTCCTTCTCCATGCTTGTAAACAATGGGGCGGTACTTCAGTCTATGTCCAGCGTGACCTGTCCAACGTGATTACGTAATGCCTGGTGCGTAGGCATTGTTATTTTTTACAATGTTTTATTTTTTTTAGAAAATGACCGATCGTTTCGCTAGATAAGACCCTATTGCTCAGCTGGGATCGTGCAGAGCCTTTTGAAGCTCTTCAAAGCCCTTTGAAACTGCATTGATTTGGACTTCAACAATTTGGAGATCCAGATGTTACAATTTTTCAATTAAATATTTTCTTTTGACTTTCTCTAATGTTCAGGGTGAAGCGACTTGGGTACTTTGATCATACTCAAAGGCAACTTGGGGAGAGATCCCTGTATGTTTTTCCCGCCAAGAGTGAAACCACACGGATAACTTGTGAGGGGCCAGAGGGGGCACCTGCTCACCCTGAGGACCCTGTTGTACGAAAGGTATGGATGATTTAACTATATCTGGCATGTCTTTTGAAAAGCAAATTCTTTGTTGTTAGAAGTTCTGGTGAGTATAGGTGTCTAAAGTATCAGTACCGCTGCACTAACTTGATTCTACAGTATCAGTAGTACAGAGTACCTAATTAGTCTGGTACCAGAGTGATTTAAGAAGATTCGGGGCAATGTGACGTACTTTTGCACAAGCCCCGCCCATGACTGTTTACTAATTAGCATAGACCCGCCACGATTGAGCTATACACAGTCCGCCATTGTTTCGATGCCAGAACAGCTGTAGACTGTGTATTATTCAGTCCCTCCAGAAAAATGCGATTATGCGATCACATGATTCAGTGCATAATCAGCCAAAGTCCGCATATTATTGCGGGGGCCACATTTTTTCAAATACGCCGAACTTTCGCCGCATAAATTGCCAATTTTCGTGCAAAATATGCGGGGCTTGCATGATTTCATATTCCTCGCATTTTCATTGCAAAAATGTCACATATCTTAACAGAAAGTTGAAAAATGTTGCGTTTGCTTCACACAAGAGCAGCCATTTCCCCCTGTTGCCATGGGAACGTTATGAAGTGACGTAATTATGCGACGTGAACATCATCGAAAAGCTGTAAAACAGGAGCACACTTTTATTTTTTTATATTTTATTTATTCATTTTTACAGAAGTTGTAGCATATTCCTTTTGTAAAGCTACAGAACTTGTTTGACTCATCAATGTTTTGTAAGTTTGATGTGTTTATTAAGGTCTGAAATAAAACAAGATGAGAACTTATATATTCCCAGCACTTTCTGTGATGTAGTATGCTTGCTTATCATAGGAAGGAATAAGAAATGACTCTTTACATTAACCCTCTGGGGACAGCAAACGCGCCGGCGCGTTTTGCTGTTTTTTTTTTCACATAGCAGCAACATAGACTTAAAATACTCCGTCATTTATGGTCATATAAATAAAATCAATACATGATTATAAACTATAGAGGGTCTTCTTTTTTGTGTACACTCACATTAACATCAAAACCTTGTGTTTTTTTTCAAATAAATAAAATAAACAGGGTGCGCTTTCAGGTCACTCTGTCTCCGCAAAAATCTGAAACTGAAACTCAGCTAATACTTATCACACAAACATGAAACATACGTCTAAAGAACGCTTTAAATTTCTACTTTTAAATAAAACAATTCACATTTAAAACAAATATTCTGCAATGTAATCTGTATGAAACTAAAGAGAAGTACAGTTTCTCCTGTCTCAGCTCATTATCGTTAATTTGTTCACACCCACTCGCAGAGCGCGCTATTCATAAGATAATGTGTTGAGGCCATATGCAAAATAGATAAACGCCCCCAGGCAAATGCTGTAAACTCTGTAAACACACTATATTTTTTAGTCAGATTAAGATTCGTCTATGAGGAATAATCCTGGGACATTTACCACAGAACAAGTGCTGGTTTCACTTCGAGGAGGAGCAACAGATTCAGCTGAGAAGTGTAAGTGTTTTATGCTTGTGCTTTGTTCTAATCGCGATATAGAATAACGTTAGTGTCTGTAAACGGAAAAATATCAAAAACCCTCATATCAAAATAATGAATCCTCAACTTTGAAATATGTATGATCAAACTAAGACATTTATGGAAAAAGCCAATTTTCTTTTCAAGATGTTTCCAACTCTAACTTTGAACTGAAATAAAACCATGTCTATATGGTGAAGGGTGTGTGATTTCAGACGTATGCACCCTATATTTTAAAGAAGAACATTTAATTATTTGCGATACATTATTCATTCACAAAGAATTCAGGGACATTATTCATGTCCCTAAAGGTTGGAGTTTTCCTCATTTTTTTATTCCTCTTTTTAGTGAACTTTAGCATGGGTGTGTTCACTTATTCTAAGCAGTGTGTGTGTGTGTGTGTATATAATTAAAAATCTACAATGCATGCCCAAAGTCGTGCAGCCATATAGTTTCTCTTGATATCAGCATGTTCACAGGTGTTTATTTATTTTTTTACAGGGACAAGATGCCACTGATGAGTCCTGCTGACTTCAACATTTACAGGAGACTGTACATGAACATGGTAAAATGAAAAATCAAACACCTTGGAAATGACAGGTATGTACTATGTTTCAGGAATGGGACAATGCTGTGTGACTGTGCAAGCCTCTGTCTTTAGATCAGTGTGTTTACTAATGTGCTTTTTTGTCCTTTGTTGTGTATCTTTGGATTATGTAAATAAATAAATCCAAACAATCTAAAAGCCATTCTTTTTTTAAATCTCCTCATTCTTTGTGCAAGGCTCCTCGTAATGATAGGGCCTGATAGCACCTAATAGGGCCATTATGGGAGGGTCTTTGTCTTTCTCAGGTGTGAAATGCCATACATATTAATGAGAGATCACGCCTCCTCGCATAAAGCTTTCTCAAACAAAACACGTCATATACATTCTAAAAGACTTTATTGACTTATCTGAATGAGTAGTCAGGATGATTCTCACATAGTTTTGGAGCAAATATTCTAGACTATGTGATACAATTTTCAAAAGTCTTGTGAAGAAATAATCAATGTGTTTTGTGGCATTATTTCAGAAACTTTTATTTTTAAGTTTTTTTCAATAACCATGCATAAATAATATTCTCTCAAAAATACAAACATGTACATACATGTTGCTCACTATTATGGTAGCCCCGTTTGTGCTATATAGAGTGAATTTACACCTTTGCCATTAACATGTTTATAAATAACTGAAAAAAGCACAAATGTCAGTGCATGTCAAAACATCCCAAGGGCCCCAAAAACCCCTTGGTCCCCAGAGGGTTAAGGTAGTTGCCTAGTGAGAACAGGGTGTTGGGGGAATCACTTTTTTTTCTCTTTTTCATCAAACCGCAGTTTTTGCAAGTTCCTGCAGTTTTTGCAAGTTCCCGCAATTTTTGCAAGTTCCCGCAATTTCGACACATAAAATGGCATAAATAACCCACATATTCCATCGCATTTTTAAAGAAAACAGGCCGCATAATCAAGGATTTTTGCCCGCAACAATCACAAAAAAACGCGTTTTTCTGGAAGGACTGATTATAGTTTAATGTGTATTAGGGCTACCTGTAGTTCATTTTCCATTTCTGTGCAGTGTAATTTCTAATTGTCATACCAACAAATTAATGTTCCTTAGAACTGGTTCTCTTTGAAATACAAACACATGTATCTGTAATCAGATGCATATTTAAAACTGGAATATTATACAATTTTTACCTTTCAAAAGCCCTTCTGATATTTATCCTTGTTTTCGCAATGGCCCAGTTGCAGTCTCTTTTTTTCTGTAGCCACTCCGAAGTCCGAAGTCTTTTGCATGTTACAACGGGTGTATCTCCAGTTGTCACTGGTGATTGTCGTATGAACCTTTCTGGATCCGCCATCAAATTTATGTTTAATTATATCAAGTGCTGTGAGAAAAGGCTATAAATCTCCACCTCCAACATCCTCACACGCACTAGTCGGGACATCTTCTTTATGTGTACAGATGTGACGTAATGACGCAAAGACATGCTCGAATTTCCCGCGGAAATCCTCCAGTACCACTGGAATTAAAACCATTATTAGAAGCTTGCCGTTTTGAATCGAGCTAAGGCAAGCAGAGAGTTTTGAATACTGGCTCAAATTTATTTGGGATAATTTTTAACCCCAAAAAGTTACGGACTGCAGCTTTAAGCACCCCCTGAAAAGGTGTGTGTATATATTTGTTTACTGTTAGTTGTAACGAGTGTTTTGTTAATTCGCTGTGTATGTTGATGATAATGAAAGGGAAAGAGAGTTTATGGATAAGACTTTAATGCGCATTTCTTATACTGTGTTTATTCAGCTCTTACAGTGAATTTCTGGAGTAAAACTAATGCTTCATCTTTTGTGTCATGTACAATAAACTTCATTGAACTCATCAGTATATTTTTGGCCATCATTCGGACGGGGTCCGCAACAGCAGGCTTGTATTAATAGTGGATAAAAGCAGATGACAAATACGTTATAACCGTAATTAAATTAGACTATAACTGTTCTATCTCCATACTGCTTGCCCATTGTCCTGTAGCCCATCCTAGCCTTGTGCAGGTCTACAATTTTATCCCTGATGTCCTTACACAGCTCTCTGGTCTTGGCCATTGTGGAGAGGTTGGAGTCTGTTTGATTGAGTGTGTGGACCTGTCTTTTATACAGGTAACGGGTTCAATACAGGTAATGAGTGGAGAACAGGAGGGCTTCTTAAAGAGAAACTAACAGGTCTGTCAGAGCCGGAATTCTTACTGGTTGGTAGGTGATCAAATACTTATTTCATGCAATAAAATGCAAATGAATTACTTAAATCATACATTGCCGATTTTGCAGGTTTTCCCAAGCATAAGCAAAAATCCAGAAAATCACAGTGTATTAAATACTTGTTCTCCACTTCTCCCCACTGTATCTATAAGATATGTATAACACTATGCTCAGATCACAATATTGTACAGATTATTATCATGTATCAGGCAATAGCAAAGCTAGTATTTAGACCCTTACCTGCATGTGTTGTGTCAGCCATTAGGAGACAGTTTCCAGAGGAAGATGGACATTATAAAGGCTTTGAATGGCCCCATTTTGGTGACAATGAATAAAAAAAAAAAATCTCTATCTATCTATCTATCTATCTATCTATCTATCTATCTATCTATCTATCTATCTATCTATCTATCTATCTATCTATCTATCTATCTATCTATCTATCTATCTATCTATCTATCTATCTATCTATCTATCTATCTATCTATCTATCTATCTATCTATCTATCGGCAGGGTAGAGTAGTGAGATACGAACGCTATGTTTTTACTGATGTATACGTACACAGTTTGTAATGACACAATAACCATAATGCGTTGTTCATTATAAACGTGGGATTATGAATTATATTGAGAACGTCGTACATAGAAAACATGGCGTAATGTACCCCGAGTGTAAACCTTAGCCAC